GGGATCTTTCAAAGACAGAGAGATGGATATCTGCAGGTACCAAGGTACAACCTGAATATTTCAAAGCAGTAGCCCTTTTTTTTTTTCTAATTTAGTGATAAAATCCAAACAGATGGTCCAAAAGAGCAATGAATCATTTCACCAGCCCTGTGACTTTGCTGTTGAGCAACTCTAGATGGGCACACACACAAACTGCAGTGACTCACAGCACAGCCACAGCGAGCAGTGAATGCTCAAAACCATTTTTAATYGATATTATCCTAATACAATTTGGAGAATTTGAAGTTATTTTTTAGAAAATTATGCCTATTTGGAATACAGGAGCCTTAGATGGGGGTGTTCTGCTGTCCCAGCAAGGAAATGAAATGGGAAAAGCAGRATTTATAAATTATCTGAATCACAACAACTTCAGGCAAGTGCAGCTGCCAGGACTTGGTGGAGGTGAAGGAACTGTGAGCTGATGGATGAAACTTCAGGCAGAGCAGAAATGATGTGGCAGCAACAGCCTCAGCTGAGATCTCCTGAGCTCTGCAGGTGACTCCAATGGATATCAGGGACAGGAAAGACACCCTCCCCCTGCAAACTGAGTCACATAAAACAYCAGAGGAATCTCCCTGCAAAGCTCCTTCCCAGTGAAACTCCACCAACACTTCTGTCAGCACTCCTGAGAGAGTGCAGGACAGGGAGATGCTGCGGGGGAAGGAGATGATGGGAATTCCACTGCTATTCCAAGGCAGGAATATCTATTTTTCTGTGTATTATTACAACATTGGGACCACCTGAAGTTTAAGATACAACCCAGTCACGTTTTAACAACTTAAGACAAAGACACTCCAGTTTATGTGTCTGGAGGGATCTATTCAGAACAATTTTCTCTGGTTTTCCACTTTTCTCATGTATTGTGCTACCACTGCTGAAGCAGTAAAACAATTCTGCAACGCCYCTCATTTAGCTTCACTGGCTCAATTAAGAAGAAAAAGTGAAACCACGCAATCAGGACTTAAAGGTGTCTTATCCTACCATAAAACTATAAAAAGAACTTTTTAACTAAAATTTCCTTTTTCTTTTCCTTGTATTATAATGTTTTCCATTGTCTACAATAAAGCAGCACCTTAAAAAAAAAAAAAAGAAAAAAGGTAAATTTGATGCAGCTTAAAGGAAAYTTGATGCAGGTTTTTAAGCTATACCCATCAGAACCGTGACTGTAATTCTGTTTTCAGGGGAATCTGCCTCCTCCCAAAAGCAGTGACATCCTCCCTCCCCACTTTTCAAAACAGGCCAATATTTCCCCAACCTGCTGACTTGCTTCAGCTTGCTTCTCAGCCCTTCTGAAGTGTGATCCAAGTTCCCCTGATTATGAAGCCAATCCAACAACCTYCCTCCACCACCAAGAACGAGCCCATCTTTGCAGTAACCTCATCACTGTAGCAGATTTGAGAAATTCAACTGCAGTCAGTGAATTTAAACAGACTCCAAAGGGSTTTACCCCACAAATGTGAAATACCTTCTGCTACCTGAGCCAAGAGACATATACACTACCTTTATCTGTTTTTATAAAATGTAAAACAACAATAAAATATTACTCCTCAGCTATTTTTGAAAGCTGTAATTTTTCCCATTTGTGCTGCACTCAATGACATTCTCATTCCCAGCAAAGTATGTGTGCTCTGCATGGAATGTCCTCTGGCTTTCTGCTCAGCTCCTGATTCACYTCCAATTCTTCCTTCCTGTCCAGCTCCTGTCCAGGCTCCACAGCCTCCTCTGGGATTATCCAAAAATCTTTCCAAAAGCAGGAAAAACTTCTAAAATGCTACTGCCCGCCAGGAAGCTGCTTCAGTCACAAATCTGTCTAAGAGTTAATCTGAATGGGGATTGTTTTTAACCAGGAATGTCACCAGACATCTGCAGCCATCAGATGGGATCAGGACACAGACACTCTCGAGTTTTTACTGTTTTTACTCTTCTACCTGCAGTWCATCAGTGCTGGAGCTGCTGGAAGCACCAAGACAACACAATCCACTATYTGACAAGTCCTCACAGTCAGAAGACCTTTCTCTGCCTTTGTGCAAAGCCAGGTAATCCATGCTACCTCAAATAAAACTGTAAAAGGGAAACAATCCATGCTAATCACACTCAGATGTAGTTATTTAAGCATTTTTATCACTATTTTTAAAAAAAGACTTTTCCCTCCTAGCATKAAGAAATAGCAGCTTACACAGGTAAGCAACTACACAAAGATTGATTCAAATTTAATTTAGCCATACCTATTACAAATGTGAATTACATATATATGGAGCAAGGGCAAAATTTAGTCWGAGATCGAGCAGCTGTGTCTGACAATGTGAAATCAACTGCAATAATCAGATGGCACACAMCAAGTACATATATATGTATAGAACAGACAAAACAACAGCAGATTCATTTCCAACCTTGGGGAAAAAAAATCACAAACTAAATTTAAGAAATAATCACAAACTAAATAAAAAGGTATTTTAATGCCTTTTTTGATTTTAAAYRCTTTTGTTCTAGGCAAACACAAATKAYCTCARAGTCAAAAAGTAAGCTCAGCTGTGCTGTGCAATGATTCCACTAACCTTGCAATCAAGCTTTGAATTCAATTCCCTTGTCTGGGGCTCCCTGCTGCAGGGGAAAATGTACCCTGTAGGGTCTGTGCTTTACCTTCCAGAGCCAGTGATTAAAAGCCTCATAACCAATCTTCTACAATTAAYAACATCAGAAACTGAACGAGCAAGCATTTTGCAAAGATTCCTCTGATAACTTGTTAATGATTAACCCCATGCTCACAGGTTCACAGTCCTTCACACTTGCTCTCCCRTGCATTCAATCAACATCTGCTTTGAACAAGTTCCACATAATCTTAAAATGTTTTCTGCATGGACCTATAAAGCAACCCAGCACTCTTGYTCACTGCCTCCACTGACAGAATGAAGAAAGCAATTAATTACTGCACAGTTTTATTCAACTCCTTTTCTTTATGCTTGTTTTCACCTGGAAAACTGCTGCTCAAATTAAGACTAATTTTTTTGTTTAAACTGCACATCRTGGTCACCCAGCAAGCAAAGAGGAGCTATTTTCAAATCAGTGCCCTGTTACCAGAAATCTCTCATCTCCTGAAAGGTATAATTAGATATTTTATTCTACAGAATAGAATAAGGTATTATATTCCAAATAGAAAAAAAACTAAACCAAAGTAATACATCATAATATCATCAGCTCTGGGACCAAGGGTAATTTTTCTGCCATGCATAAAAATTGTAAATCCTTATTGTAAATCTGCCCTTTCCATGTGAACTGAAAGGATGATTTTCAAAGGTGAAACAACTTTGATCCTAGGGATTGCATTTCAGTGGCACCCATTCCAGGTGGAATATATTTCAATATGTACTTTAGAACTCCAAATAATCCCTCTTGTCAAATGCTCCCAAGGAAGCTCCCAAAGGAGCTCAGCAAACAGCAAATATGGGATGGGGGAAGGAGGCGATGACAGGAACCCCCAGCTCTCAGGAAGGCTGTTACTCAAGCAATAATGTGCATTATCTCAGAGCAGGGCTGTGCTTGAACAGATACTTCTGGCACTGTGGCAGTGCTCAGAAGCCACCCCAGCACAGGAGGGTGACACTCAGTTCTTGTCCAGCTGCAGCACAAGGTGGCAGAGCCTCCACCCACAGGAGCAGCAGCGAGAGCCACTTGGGTTTCAAGCTGCACATTTCACAGAGGGATATGAGCTCCTGGAAAAGCCCAGACACATTTTACAACTGGCTGGCATATGTTGACCTGTAATTCAAACTGAGCTGGGATTCTCTGAGAGGTTTCAGTTCTTTTGTTTGGATTTGACATCCTGCTCTTTGCTAGCATCACCAGGATGCCAAAGCAGATTTAGTTGTAAATCCTGGCAGATTCAGGTTTAGTTTATTTAGAAAACAAGACTGGATGCTCCATCACTTGTATTTCCTTGGTAATACATGCATTGCTGTGAAGAAAGTATCAGTCATGCCAAGYCAAATGCATTATATACCCCGAATTGTTGTTTACTTACCAACAACAAAAAGAGAAAAAACCTTTAGTTCAAAAATTGGTTTGAACCTTTATCTCCAAACTGATATTCTATACTTAGAGGCCCCTCATGGAAATAAAAGCATATGGGTCACTTACTACATCAACAATAACACTGACCAGGCTTTGGGAGGGAAAGCAGCAGCTATATGCTGACCTCACTGCAATTAACAGTATTTAACCCATTTATCTCAACTTTAACACAATATTTCACTGGGTTCCTTTATGATTGCACTCCCATAAATCACAGATCCCCTAATTCCTGCTATCTGGCCTTGACTGTTCACAATGAATCATTGGACTTGGGAGAACCAGTGGACATGAGAAGAGAATTTGGTCTTTTCTATTTCAAACACTACTTAAATAAAAGTTTTACATTTTCTTTGGTTGCCTCCCACCCACAGAAACCCAGCAAAGCAATGGGGAGGCATAAAATCACCATTTCTCCTGACACACAGAGAGTTCACAGAAATGCTATTATCTGGAGCGTTTGGAATATAAAAAGGTCACCTGAAGAGACATAACATGTTTGGGAATTCAGCCCCAGAATGCCTCATATGCTCTTTAGAACAGTTTGATTCTAGATAGTAATTTAAAAATAAGAAAATCTGAGAGGCAAGTTACACCAGAGCTGTTTAACGTTTTTGTTTCATTGTATTTACAACAATTGCTGTTCTGCATCATCTCAAGATGATTAATTGGTCACTCTCCTCGGTGTCTGCTGAATTCTGGTGACACGCATGCACTGATGGTATGGCATGCACCCAAGGATAAAGAGCCCAAAAGGGAGAGACTAAAACCAGAATTTCAGAAGCGGAAGCACACCAAGGGAAAAAACTGCAAAACAAGGAGCATTCCTGTGAACACACAAGCTAAATCACCTCAGAGACATAGATATCAGAAGCAGAAGGGAGTGTGTCCCCTACCTGTCGGCGTCGCCCAGCCCCAGGGCGGTGTTGCGCTGCAGCGTCTCGCGCACCGCGGCCATGCCGTCGGGCAGCCGGGTCAGCCGCCGCGTGTACAGCCCCAGCCCGCCGTCYGTCAGGTACCTGCCACAGAACAGAGAGAGGCAGCTCAGTGAAACCAGTGAAAAACACATCCCTTAGCACAGCACAGCTCTCCGCGCCGCACGCCGCCGTCTCCCCGCTTTTGAGGGTGCTACGCGTAATGAAACGCAACGAAAACGTCGTTCTTCTTCATCTTCTCATCTTTCTCCATCACACTCTGCACTCTCTCATCACCAAGAATTGAATTCCAACACAAATGTGATAAAGGACACTTACAGAATGCTTAACTTTTATTAAGGATGCCCATAGAGAAGTAATTCAGTATTTGTGAAAGCTATCATTAATGATCCCTTCTTGCCCAAAAAATACATGGTTTACACTGCCCTGAATTGTTTTGCATGGGCTAAAATACAATCTCAAAATCTCAAACCTTTCACAAGTTAGCTGCAAAAATCACACTGAATTCTTCCCTAGATGTTGTCAATGAACAGTGAATATGAAGTATCCCACGACTCCTAAAAATMATGATGAATGAAAAGTTCTTTGCAACCTTGTTTTGGCTCCTACATTCCACTCTGGCTGCAACTGTGACCTTGAGACACCTGCATTTAAAAATTACTATTTACTATCACTACTACAAATTACTGTAACTATTCTTAGGCATTAAGAATTGCCACGTAGACACGTGACACTTCATAAATGGCTAAAAGAGCACATTTCTTACTTTCTGGTTCGGATAAATGAAAAATTAATCTTAAATTGAACAGAGGTGGGCAATGGTGTGGAGTAAGCCCTGGGTTACCACCATCAGCTCACACAGGTCTACAGGAGCCTGTCAAATCAGACACAGGAGCATTCCCCACTCAGCAGATCTGTGGGGATCCTCCAAACTCACAAAAACTGCAAACAGCACGAGGAGCAGTTGCACTGCACCACGTGGAATTCACCTTAGGTCTGGCATTCCAACTTCTGTTTGAATCAGTTTATAAATATTTTATCATGGAAGAATATTTCTTTTCCTTGAGCTACTAAAATAAAGGGGAAGAAGAGAAGAGTGGAGCTTACAACCATATTGTTATACAAACATGCAGAGTATTTTTGCAAAAACATCTAATGTACGTACATTAATTGGTTTACTGCAGCTACTTGTCTGCACATGAAACAAGTTCCTGTGTGAACACTCTTTGCATGTGGGCTGGAAAATGCAGCTTTTGGCTTTGCTGTCAGATTTCTGGCGTATTGGTCCTTTGATACAAAAGATCTATTGCAGCTGAAATGGATTGTTGTTCATACTTATTAGCCAGAATATKTGAAAATAAATATAGTACTCTTAAGAGTTAGCCACGCTGAAATCAAAGACTTTTCACCAGCATCAGGGTATTTCACCTTCTTCACAGAAGCTCAGCGAGCTAAAAGATTAAAGTAACACTGCAGTAGCAGTGAACAATCAAACTGAGAACTAAATCAGATTTTCACTGGTTTCAAGCACTGATAAATCTTACATGAGCCAACAGAAGCTGGGTGCCTTTGGCAGCTTTGACAACTCGATCACACTTTTCTAACACTTTTCCCCCAAGTCCACGGGAAAAAGCCCAGGCATAAATGCTGACTTTTACCCCCCATACCAATAGGACAAGTTTTTTACATGCCAGAACAACACAGGATAGGCTTTTGTGTTTTGAAACWGGTTTGTGTAATCAGAGTTTGAAAGCTTTGTATCTTAGTTTTATTTGACGCAACATCCTCTACCCAGCAATGTTTAACTCGGAAAAGATGCCAAAACCAATGATGCCTCAAGTTCTACATGAAACAGAGAGGTGAAGAAAAAGKAAAGGTACTAGCTGCAAAAGTCTGTGGAAAAAAACACATTTTAAATAAATACACTTTGAAAGAAATTTTAAGAAACCCTCTTTACTATCCASTGGTTAGTCCAGAGGAAGGTTCAAAGCCATTGGTGCACAAACCTTCAGTCAYTGCTTTCTTTGCCTTCCTCTCCACCCCTTCAAAGTTAAAATTGTCTTGGCTCTAGGAAACTGCCTTACCCTTATGAATACATTGCTATTGCTACAGATTTTTACTTTATTAGAAAGGAGAATATAATGAAGGCACATTTTTCTGAAGAAAATCTTCTAGTGTTTTATTCGGGAGTGAACAAGACCAGGAAATATTATCCTGCATGTAACTGTAACAGTACTCAAAGTTATTGGAATTTATTGTCCTATCACATCCACACAGCATGGAACACAAGAATACTGGCTTCTCCTCTATAATGACACACTGCAGTCCAAACAAATGTACTTAGGTTCAAGTGTAATTTATCTGACTTTTCATATTAAGCAACATGATAAATTTGCACTAAAAGCCTTGCTAGCTTTACGACTCCTAAGAACTCTGCAAGTATTTTTAGTGTAAAAAAACCTAGGACTTAGAAATACTTTTTTACCTGCCCCAAAATTAAAAAAGTTTAAACATGATCTGGTGAAAAGCACGGCATTCAGACTCTCTCTTTCATAGAGACAGGTAAATTCTACAAAAAAATTAATCTCACAATGCTTTATGAAGAGTACCAACAGCCAGAAGGGAATGACTGCCTTTAATAAAGTTGAATATAACAATATTCAATAATATAATAATATTCAATAATATAACAATATTCAATAATATTCAATGTTGAATATAATAATATTCAACAGTGAGACAGGGATGATATTTGTTAAAAGGAGTTTCTGATCTTCTCAGGAATTCATGTACAAGTACTCATGGCTATGGTTTCACTCTTTATCAGCAAAGGAAAAAAACRAACCAAACTCCTGTCAATATGAAAAGACTCAGGTTAAACAAGAGCAGTATTATGCACTTCTAACACGCAATTAGGATTTACAGCCCACTTTCTAGGTGACACTTTTTTCCTATTAGAAAGTGGCTCCCTGCCCTGCATTACAGGCATAAAGTAATTTGCTTTGGACAACCTGGACCTTTAAACTCCTCTTTTCTTCAGCCAGATACAACCTTTCTGTGCCTCTGAAATTGTGAGYGCTGTAACAAGCCCTTCCAAGTGTAACATTTTTAGGGTATTTCTGATGCTGAAGTGATTTAATCCCCTTTCCTGAAAGGCACACTGAGGAAACAGGAACARGTTATGCCAGGGATCAGCAAAACCCAGGTCTGAATCACTTGACTTCTGTCTGCACTCCCTACTTAGTGAGGGACACAGCCAGCCAAGAGCACACTCACTTTTATGGCCTGACAACTCTACCACTTCATTTATATTCATTTCACTCCTTCACGTGTGAATATGCATTTTCCAAGCTGGAAAACAGACAGCCAAGGGACAGGCATTCTGTCCTGAAGGATTAGGGAGAGAAGGAGCAGCAGGTAAGTCAGCAGCACACAACRAACTGGACAAGCCCACCCTGACCTGCTCAGGATCCCACAGCCCCATAATCCCAACCCCACAAACAGAGAGCAGCARCGTGCCCCAAGAGGGACCTGAATGTGGCAGCTCAGCTGCTCCTGCCTTCCTCTTGGTGCTTTGGATCAGAGGCTGGTGTGGAAATCACTGCCCAGCAACCCAGGAGCTTGAAACTTTAAGAAACAAGAGGTTCACTGGAATCACATTTTTTGGCTGAATCCATGTATCAAGGTCTGCTTTGACAGGCGGAAGTGTTGTCTCACTGATGCAGCAGTAACGCTGTTATTCCTAACGCTTCCCTTTCACTCTCTATTTTCACTGGGCTTCATCTGTCTCGTCATTACAGTCAGTTAAACAAGATCAAGAGGCTTAACGAGCTCTGAGTATTAAAGAACAACTCGAATGCTGCCACTTGCCAAAAACCCACGGCAGAGATTTCCCCAGCGCCGTTTCTGAACCATGCTGAATGTTACTATAACTCAGAATAAATCCCAAATCTGGCATTTAAAGAAATGCTGCCCCAACAGCTGGATGATGACAACTCTGAATTTCTCAGCTCAGTATGAATTTGATCTGCATTTTCCATCCTAACGCTGGCATTGGACCACATGTTTTTTTCCCATGTTTATAAACCCCAAAGCCTCTCCGACCACTACTCGTGCCTGACTTGAATCAGAACTTGATCTCTCTAACCAAAGACCCTGTCTATGAGCCCATGGCTGGTTTAACTTCCTTTATTGATCYCTGTGAATTCCAACAAAAACATCCAGGAGCACCATCAGGTCCCGAGCTTTCAGGTTGGGACTCCCAGTACAATGCCCAAATTCCCTAATATTAGCCCAAATATTACATTTCAGGTTCATAAAAGTGCAAACCTATGCTCAATTAATAAAATTTAATTTATATTTAAGGCAGTCTAYAATTTATAAATTAATAGACTTTTACTAATAATCACTAACAATTTACAATTAACAAACCAATGAATGAAGTATGAATTGTTTTGCAGAAACACAACCCAAACGTGGAGTAAACCCTGAAGAAATTACCTGCAGACTCAAAAATCCTAACCAGTGCTGGAAAGGAGGGGATACCTGTTCCACTAACAGGTAAAACAGGAAAAATGAGATTATGCAAAACTGAATAAGTATATATTAATTTCACAGTTTATTTCGAGAAGCCTCTCACGTGTAAATCACCAACAGCACGAATTGTGCTGCATAATCACATTGCTCAAACCAGCCCAGAGGCAAAACAAGTTCACCCCTTTAACTACTTAATGCTCAGCCCTTTTTCCATGGAATAAAACAAGAAATCTGCACAAATAYGTGGCTTTTGTGAAATCAATACTTTTCTACCTGGAGATGTATTAGGGCTGCCTGGCACATAAATCCTCCAGCAGCCATCAGATCAACAATTTTTGGGCACCGCTGCCCAAGGTTAAATTTTTCTCTATGTCTTCTCAGCTTCAAGCAGTCTGCAGGAGCTGCAGTGACAGTGCAGCCTGGAAGGGAGCTGAGTGGCTGCTGCACGTCCCCACATCCAGAACAACTCTCTGAGCTTTGGAAGAAACCCAYTCCCTGTGGAATGAGCAGCCTTAGGAGGTTCACAGGCAAAGAGAAGTTGCCAATAT